TAATGAATTGCATACATAATGATTAGATAATTATTATGTATGCAATTCATTATATACATAATAATTATCTAATCATTATGTATGCAATTCATTATATACATAATGAATTGCATAATTCATTATATACAATGTCCAGTCAAGAAAATCTAAGCAATGTTATATTGATGATCACGGATTAATAATTTGTACAAAGGAAGATTATAGGTCTAGTAAAAGGGATATGTGTCATTCACTGAACATACAAAGTATTTTAGGCTATGTTCACACACACGGCGTAAGACTGGCGTGGCTTACGCCAGGCGTAAGCTAATCCACGGTTTAAAATTCCAAAGTGTTCACACAAACGGCGTTCGTTACTAGCAGTAATATTATAGACCTATGTGGAATAGTTTTCAGTTTTAAATAATGTACGTGTTAAAACTTTTAAATCTGTGAATTGTTCGAAGTGAACTTATATGATTATTGTATTTAAAATGAACAATTTTACTTTTGATTTTTCAGCTAGCATTGTTGATGTTGCATGTTTTAATAGACAGTCTAAATGGTTAAAATATCTTACAAAACACAATCAATAAATCATATACATTATAACTAAGTAAAATGCAATAGAAAAAGGAACCCCTTCACCATTTCATTTATAGAGAGCACAGAAAAGAGACCAAAGTAGCTAATATATTGCTATCGTGATTGGTCAATCTCTTGAAATGAGGTCAAATCATTCAAGCATCACTGGCGTTAGCTCAGTTGCGTTAGCTAATCTGGGGTCTGCAGGTAGCGTTAATAACGCCAAGGACGTGGCGTAGTGAATGGCTTTAAAAACGCCACTGCCTAGTTCACACACAAAGGCGTACGCTACGCCAGGCTTAAGCCAGCCTTACGCCGTGTGTGTGAACATAGCCTTAGATTCATATTCCTTGAGGAAAGATAAAATTTGATTATTAGATGTAGTTTCAACTTGTTATTTTAGAAATTTTAAAAATTCAGAATTACAGTTTTTTGTGAATTATGATGAGAGGCATTAGCTCTTGAGAGAATAGTAAAATTTGCTTATAAGCTGCCAATTTTTTGGTATTTTATGTATAATACTGCATTGTACATTTGGACAAAAAACTAAGTATTATAAATATTTAACCCTACATGTCATTGTTTATTTAAAACATCATTCTGCATGTTCATTAAATATAAGACATTATGGTTTTATTCAATGGAATAATCATCTCTTATCATCATTAAGGCTATTTCAACAACTTTTCTGCCTCTCAGTGTGTACCATTGACTAATTTCTGTAATATGTTTAAAATTAAATCCTCAATGTTTGATGCTTAATTTAAGGAACCATTGGGGGAAAAATGTGTTTGAACTATATGAAAACAATTATTTAATTTCAACAAATATTATTGGGCTCAATTTCTTTGGTTATAATTTCTATTGTAAAAAAAATTATTGTATATTTAGCTAAAACCTGTTGTAATATAATAGTGAAATTATATTTATTCCACGATCGACTGTATTCATAGAAATTATGTGTAAGGGTTTAAAATATATTTTATAAACCTTCTTTGTAATATTTTTACTTTCCTTTTTTGACATACATGTGTATCTATATGTTACTATGCACAAATGATTATGACTATAATGTTGATTATTTAATTTCATCAAATAAGTTTTGGACAAATTCCTTTAGTTATAATTTTTACTGTAAAAAAAATTATATTATATTTAACTAAAAACTAATGAATATAGTGAAATTAATTTTTTCCACGTTCGACTGTATTCATAGAAATTATGTGTAAGGGTTTCAAATATATTTGTAGAAACCTTCTTTATAACATTTTTACTTTAATTATTTGACATTCACCTGTATAATACTATGCACATATAATTGTGACTTTAAAGTTAATAAATTTGAAACA